AACCTACATCAAAAAACGAAAAATAAGTATCTTACAAATTGTATTATAAGAATGTTCAGGATGTGGGCTGTCTGGGCATAACTTTATTAAACTAGAATCTATTAACAATACAGAGATTGTCTAGTGTAATTTTAATTTACCAATATTACTTTACTAAAGTTACACTAGTCAATACAGTATTGAACCATACCTGTTGCACTTTGCTAGAACTTGGTCCAGCAGAAGCGTTTGCACTCGTTGCTGGTCCCGTGGGACCAGCACCGTCGGAAGAGACCTTTGCAGCATTTTCACTGCAATTATACAAAACACTTAGATAAAAAGCATCATTTCCTGGCCAGAAAAAAACACATGCTTGGTTTACCTATGTGCGGGAGGAGGACCTACTCACCACGCTCCCGCTGGCAGCTGGCGTTGATGGCAGTTCGGATGAAGAAACTGCCGATCTTGGTGATACTGCCATAGAGGGCTCGGACGGCGTATTTGGGTATGACATAATTTTTCTATAACGAAGACGGGAGGATTTTCTCCTCCTGTGAAATACTGAACTGAAAAGAGTTGACAATTCTAGATCTGCTACACTTAACGGTTGTAGCTCTGGAATGGGAAATAGTTCGAGCAATGACTGAGGCTGGTATTTGGGCATTATGTACGTGTTGGAAATGGAAAAAGTAGATGACATCACAGCCACAACGTCTTCCGGAAATGTTATAAATGCAGACATCCCTTTCAATTTTAAATTTTCGTACCATGCTCTCATGAGTGTTTTGTGTTGGTCACTCGCTGTGTCCTCCAGGTGCTTGTGGAAGAGGTACAGTCGTGAACATGCTTGCTGTGCTACGTGCGAATCACTCTATTGGTGAGTCAGTCGGGTGGGAGAGGAGAACGTGTGTGTATGTGTTTGTGTTGTACGGCAGTGTGACTCAGATTGGGTCAGTATGGTGGTGTGGTGATGTGATGTGATGTGGAGTAATGTGGAGGGTGCCAAAGAGCCGGTGGTTAGGAGATGTACAGTCAGCTAGCAGTCTAAATAGATAGCTTGGGTCCCGAATAGGAAAGCACAAAATAAAAGGAGGGCATGAATCCTGCCTGCTCTACATTACACGAGTGAGGAGCAACAATATTGCAGTACTCTGGTTGCAAAATCACTAGTGATGCACGCAGGTCGGTAGGAGCGGTGCAGGTGGTACTGATACTAAGAGTGGAATGCATGCGAGCGAGCGACTTGCCAATGGACAAAATATAATGATTGTCAGGCGGCGTTGCCTTGCTTTTCATGGGTTTAGTTAAACCATCCTTCGTTAACATAATGTTCATATACAGCCTCTCCTGCGGGTTTGTTGTTATTAGTATTATGACAGGATGTGAGGCTTCTGGGCCAATTGAAGACATTTGGATGTCATATCTAGGATTGTACAACATACAGCGCCATCCACCATTCATCTCAGCAGCTATCCATAATCTAACGCTCCCGACAATGTCGGGGATTTACCTAGGTCTACATCCCGCTTACACAGTGGGTAGCTTTGGCGGAGGTGAAGGCCCGACCAGAACTGAGATGTGTACTGACCTTTAGCTGTGAGGTCGAGAAGGTTCAGACTTGATGTGATCAGATTTGGAACCGGAGCGCAGAAGCAGTCGTGTTGAGATTTTCAGGACGTGTCGCTGTGCTGTGTACAGTGGTACAGTCCCACCTGCTTAGTCAGTATGCGTGTAATGGCCTGTCTCTTGCTTTTATGGCACCGGCGGCTTTGCCTAGGAAAGCCTAGCTGACACATGGCAGGGATACGGATTCAGCATGGTTCCCCCATTTAATCCATGCATGTACAACAGAAGATAAAGGTTAGGAGCACAGATCAAGCAACGCGCAAAACAAGATCAGATCTGGCCAAATCGAACAGACGACCTGAGGACTCCAGCGTGGCATTCGTTATGTATTTATATCATGATAAATTCCAGATTTCGATTCTGGGACCTCGGGATTGTGAATCTGCACGCTTCACCGCTGCCCATCTCGAATGTGAACACATGTTTAAGGTGTGAGAGCTTTCTATTAACGATTGAGTTTTTTCTGTCTACAGTAGGACAACCTCCGCCGGCACTGCTAGCTACATCCGTGCATCGTGGGCCACGGGATGCACAACAAATAACCCGCTGCTGCATTGGTGGTGTTCTTTTGCCACTTGCTTGCTGCAGTGTACATGCATGGTAGACTGACCCTTCACGCCTCAATCCACAAGGCAAATGCGGATAATGCTGTTTGTCATGGCTCGAGTTCTTCACTGCAGTGTGATCGACACGTTACCAGGGAGCTTGCCAGTCCGCTAGTCTCCTGGTTTGTCCTTTTCTCTTCTTTTACTGGATCTTGATTGAAGCATCCGGAGGCAACTTGTACTTCCTTTTCCTTCTTGGCTGTGTGGGTGTGTTGGGAGAGGCATCGTTTGTGTTGGTGGTTGTGTTGGTGGTTGTATTGGAGTGGATGTGAGGCAGTGGGACTTATTCTCCAAACACAGGAATGCAGGAGGAGAACGGTATGATGTTGTGTCTGTGTGGGCAGGTGGGCAGACGGGCAGGGGGGAGAAGCAACCTGAAGCTGTACACGTATGGTGCAGCAGGGCGTCCTGGGTCGACTGCGTGTGTATGTGTATGTGTTTTGTACGGCACTATGATACTACGAGTGTTGCTCGTTCAGCGGCGTGCAGGCATCCACCTGGGGGACAGTGCACACATGTCTGCAGCATGCGGGCAGGAGTGTTAGCAGACCTGGAAGCTCGGGGCTCATGTATAGACATACATACGTGAACATGTTCTCTCAGACGGCTTCAAAAATCCAATTTCGTTGTTGTAGCAAAAGGACTACAGTCAACAGGTTTCTTGATGCTTGTATAACTTATTTGGATAGTGTGCAGTGCTTAAAAATCCTAAGGGTTTGTGCAGTCTCCCTCGGATGCTGATTCGTTGGAAAATAAAAACAGTTAATTGGTTAGGAGGTCGTACCCCGGATATATCCGGGCTATTGCTCCTTTCGTAGGTGTATAGGTGTTGTTGCTTATTGCTTGCACAGCTGAGCTGAGCACCATAAGGCCTGTGTGCATTACGGAATGCAACATCAAGAAGGTATCGAGTGTCTTGATGTCGTACAGCTGTCGGCAATCATTTGCAATTCAATGATGTCGTACAGCTGTATGGTGCTGTAAAAAAGAAGTTCAAGCACTTGACGAGCTCCTAAGAAGTGCCTAAAAGGCGCGGCGAGAGGCTACATGCAGGGGCCGTAGAGACGCACGCTAAAGACCACATTGCTGTCGGAGCCTGTTTGGTGTGCCTCAAATCTCATGAACTGACCTGGATACACTTCTGAGTCTCGGCTGCCCAAGGTAACACGCTGTCCTGGTCAACTTGTCCTGTGCCTTAGATCTTGTCCTATTCCCTGTGTGTGTGTTGTGCTGTTGGGCTTACGAAGGCATAATTGCCAGAGGTGAGTTTGAGCTGGTGAAAGGTTTCCTGCTGATTTTCGCTCACAAGAAAGACACCACCCAAGAGGAGGAGGCGAGGTGACCAGTCAGGTCAGGTCAGGAGCACAATTCAAAAAGTGCGAGCCCTCTCACGCACCAGGTGGTGCACACACAGGATGCAACCTCACGACAAAAATTAACCACCAGCCACACCCCGCACTGCCTTCCCCTATCATCCTCCCTCCCACCGTCCCATTCCTCTCCACCCCCATGTTATAGAGTGTGCATGCGTGTGTATGTATGTATGTGTGTCTCAATGGTACATATAGTCGTTCCCCCCCGGTACTGCTGTCCAGCTTTTGAAGACGTGGACATCCGTACACAGCTTCCTCATGGCCTCTGTCACACGGTTGGCCACCAGCAGCCCGTGCACCTCTAATCCCAACTCCATGTGGGCACGCGAGATGGCCTTCGGGGCGGGGCGGGGTGGAAGGGGAGGGGGGTGTAGAGGAGAGGAAGGGGAGGTTCAATAACGGTTGAGGTCACGATTAAGAGTCCCAGGGCTACAGAAAAACACAAAAGGGATTTTTTATTATTATGGGGTCGCAGGCTAAGAGGTGGGGTGATTTTGGCAAGAAAGAGTGAAATGTATCATGTCGTACAAACCTTGGTTGCCGTACAGCTTCATCGTACAAACCTGCAAGATCTTGTCGTCCGGGTTGGGGATCTCTCCATCTGTCACCATGAGGATGTCAGCCTGAGACCACTCCTTCTGTCGGGGCGGGGCGGGGAGGGGAGGGGTGGGT